TGACCTTGCCCAGTAAAAATGACCTTGCCCAGTAAAAAAATGACCTTGCCCAGTAAAAAATGACCTTGCCCAGTAAAAAAATGGCCTTGCCCAGTTAAAAAAAATGACCTTGCCTAATAAAAAATGACCTTGCCCAGTAATGACCTTGCCCAGTAAAAAAATGACCTTGCCCAGTAAAAAATGACCTTGCCCAGTAAAAAGATGACCTTGCCCAGTAACTCCTTAACATGTAAATTATATATGAAAGAGAGGTTTAGGGTTTCGGGTTTAGGGTTTAAGGTTTAGGGTTTAGGGTTTAGGGTTTAGGGTTAGGGTTTAGGGTTTAGGGTTTAGGGTTTAGGGTTTAGGTTTAGGGTTTAGGGTTTAGGGTTTAGGGTTTAGGGTTAGGGTTTAGGGTTTAGGGTTAGGTTTAGGGTTTAGGGTTTAGGGTTTAGGGTTTAGGGTTTAGGGTTTAGGGTAGGGTTTAGGGTTTAGGGTTAGGTTTTAGGGTTTTAGGGTTTAGGGTTTAGGGTTTAGGTTAGGGTTTTGTAGGGCGCCTTTCCTTGTTGCTGTTTCTTGCTGTCGCTCGAGGGTGCGTGTCGCGGGCGCGCTCACTCACTCCCTCCCAGCCCGTGTTCTTGTTGCTGTACACCACCGGGGGGGGGGGGGGAGTTTTTTTTTGCTGTCGCGGCGCGGGCGCTTCTTTTTTTGTGTGCTGTCGTTGCGGGATGCAACAACAAAAAGCACCGGTTCCCACCTTAAACCCTATACATCTCACGAGAATATATGTGCATATACACATATATATATGTTTAAACAAATGGGGAGGTATACTCAGAAATCCATCCGCTATCCTGGGTATAGGATGTATAAGGTTGAAGGTTTAGGGAGTTTAGTGCAGCAGTAAAGCTGCGCGGGGGGGGCGCTCCAATCACGCAAAAGGGGGGCCCAGTTTAGAAGAACACGTATGGTTAAGGTCAAGTTTCCTTAAAGTGGCTAGGCCTTTAGGGTCTGAGATTTAAGGCATAGGGTTCGAAGAGTACCCCCAAACCCTAAACCCTCCCTAAGAAATCCCTAAACCCTAAACCCTAAACTCTAAACCCTAAACACTTTAGGGCTTTGAGGCGACTCCTGTCCTGGTGATCCGCGGCCTCATGGGTTCCAGCTTCTCCCTCCTTCGCCACCTGCGTAGGATCGGGTTTAGGGTTTAGGGTTTAGGGTTTAAGGGTTAAGGGTTAAGGATTAAGGGTTAAGGGTTAAGGGTTAAGGGCTAAGGGCTAAGGGCTAAGGGCTAAGGGCTAAGGGCTAAGGGGTAAGGGTTAAGGGTTAAGGGTTAAGGGTTAAGGGTTAAGGGTTAAGGGTTAAGGGTTAAGGGTTAAGGGTTAAGGGTTAAGGGTTAAGGGTTAAGGTTAAGGGTTTAGGGTTTAGGGTTTAGGGTTTAGGGTTTAGGGTTTAGGGTTTAGGGTTTAGGGTTTAGGGTTTAGGGTTTAGGGTTTAGGGGTTTAGGGTGTAGGGTTTAGGGTTTAGGGTTTAGGGTTTAGGGTTTAGGGTTTAGGGTTTAGGGTTTAGGGTTTACGGTTTAGGGTTTAGGGTTTAGGGTTTAGGGTCCGCTGACCCTGGCGGCGTGTTGGATGGGAAATCCTTACCCCCCCAAAACAAAACGGTACCCCGCCAGCTTTTCCGTGGAGGAACAGGCCACCCACACCGCGTAAACTCATGGACCATAGGCGTTTTCGCACAGGGCATAGGGGCTCTTTTGGAAAAAACCCCTCCCCCACCTCCCCACCCCCACCCCCCCCCCCCCCCCCACCCCCCCCCCACCCCCCCCCCCCCCCCACACCCCCCCCCCCCCCCCCCCCCCCCCACCCCCCCCCCCCACCCCCCCCCCCCCCCCCCCCCCCCCCCCCACCCCCCACCACCCCCCCAACCCCCCAACAGGAAAACCGCAAACAAAATCACCAACACCCAAACCTTAAAACTTGTTCTTCGGCGGCTTGGCCGGAGGCTCTTAAATCCGGCCCCCGCACCGCCCGTGGTCCAGGGCGGAGCCCGCGTCGCACTAAAGCGCTAGCTTTAAGGGGCGAGCGCCCGAGCCGCCGACCCCGCCCAAAACTGCTTCAAATTCGCGCGGGGCCCTTCGGGAGGCCTCCAAAACGGCATCCAAGAAGACGCAACACGCGGTGGTGCGAAAAGCACGAAAACCTCGTAAAAACCATGGTTTTTTACGAAAAACCGAGGCCACAAAACACCCGCAACACCCCATTAAACCCTCACGGGCGCGCATCATCGGCCCTAGCTTTTCACATGGGGCGCGCGCCAGGCCGAAACCACGTTTTTCAAGGTTTGGGGGGGGTACCGGAAGCCCAAAACCAGGCGAGCATCATGAGCATCAGCAGCCCTGGCCCGCGGCCCCAAGGCAATAAAAAACGCTGAAAAACGCTGAAATCACCGTAAATACCGTGTTTTTATGAGGTTTTTCACGCGTGCCTCCGAGCCCCACCCTTGTTGCCCTTGACCCGCCCCCAAAGTGCGCATCATCGAAACCCACGTCGGGGGGGGGGTCTGCTGATGCTGCTGATGCGCGGGGTCCGGGCGCATCATCGAGCCATCGTTTCTCATGGGCTTCGTGGGGGGGTCCGGGCCCACGGCCCAGAGACCCAGCTGATGCTCATGATGCTCGGTTTGGGGGGGTGTTCTAACAGCAGAAAACCTCGTAAATACCGAGTGTTTTGTGGGTCCACGTAAAAACGCCCCTAAAATCGCTCATTTTACGCGCTCGAACGGCTTCGTGCCTACAAAACACCCGAACAGCAGGACCCCGAGTGCGCTTAAGGGCATTCGGGGTCTTGCTTTTGGGGGTTTGGTGGGCACGCAAGCGTTCCAGGAGGTTTCGGATGGCCTGGGGGAGGCCGCTGATGCTCATGATGCTCTCTCTTCCTCGGTTCCAAAAGGCTTCCCAAGCTCAAAAACACGTGTTTACAGCGTTTTCTGAAGGTTTTTCGAAGGCAAAACTCATGCTTAGAATGTCTTTTGGGCTCCCAAACCAACCCCAATGATGCTCCTGATGCGGGTGCGCGCGCGCGCGCGGGCGGGGGGGGGGGGGGGGGGGGGGGGGGGGGGGGGGGGGGGGGGGGGGAGGGAGGGGGGGCGAAGGCAGGAGAAAGAGACACAGAGAGAAGGAGACGAAAAATGAAATAGAGAAAGGAAAAGAAACAGAGAAAGAGAAAGAGAAGGAGAAAGGAGAAAAGAGAAACGAGAAAAGAGAAAAGAGAAAGACAAAGAGAAAGAGAAAGAAAAAGAGAAAGAGACAGAGAAGGAGAAAGAGAATCCGAAAGAGAAAGAGAAAAGACAAAAGAGAAAAGAGAAAGAGAAAGAGAAAGAAAAGAACCAGAGAAAGAGAAGGAGAAGGAGAAAGAGGAAGATGAAGAGAAAGATAAAAAGACAGAGAAAAAAGAGAAAGAGAAACAAAAAATGTCAAGAGAAAGAGAAATGAAAACAAGGACGCGGAGGAGAATAACAAGAAAGAAAAACAAAAAGATAAACAGAAAGAGGAAATAAGCAAGCGCAGGAGAAGTAAGAGGAGAAAGAGAAAGACAGAGAAAAAGAAACACTGGCAAGTAGAGAGAGGAAGGAACAAAGACATCAAAAAAAAACCACGCGAGAGAGCGAGAGGAGAGAGACAAAGACAAAGGACAAAGAAAAGGGAAAGAGAAGACAGTGCCAAGGTTCAAGGTTTCGTGCTTTGGGGGGGCGGGGGCCGGCCCGTGCCGCTAGGCCTGAAATTTAGGGTTTAGGGTTTAGGGTGGGTATACAAGGGCTAAGGGCTTTGGGATTTAGGTCAATCAAGCAACAACCTCTTGGGAGGGCTTGCGCGAGTGCTTGCTTTCAAGAAGTTCTTCGTCGCACGCCCCTAGCAAAGCGAATCTCCCTAAACCCTAAACCCTAAACCCTAAACCCTAAACCCTAAACCCTAAACCCTAAACCCTAAACCCTAAACCCTAAACCCTAAACCCTAAACCCTAAACCCTAAACCCTAAACCCTGACCCTATAACTTTCTATACGTCATAAGAGTCTTAAACTCCCAACTCAATCAGCGGCTGGCATATGTTAGCTGCAGTACCCTAAAGCGCCTTCAGGACCTGAAGGAAGTCGCCTTTGAGGACCCCTAAACCCTAAACCCTAAACCCTGAACCCTCAACCCTAAACCCTAAACCCTAAACCAGGTGGGTGGAAATAGGCTACGCACTTTTCTGTGTTTAGGCAGGGCACCCTACAGGCTACGGCCTGAACCCCTAAATCCAAACCCTAGACCTAAACCCTAAACCCTAAACCCTAAACCCTCAACCCTCAACCCTAAACCCTAAACCCTAAACCCTAAACCCTAAACCCTAAACCCTAAACCCTAAACCCTAAACCCTAAACCCCTTCCCTGAACCCCAAACCCTAAACCCCTAAACGTCTGAACCCAGCACCGGACAGCCTACAGCCCAAACCCCTAAACCCTAAACTCCTAACCTCTAAACACCTAAACCCTATCCCCTAAGCCCGAAACCCTAGACCCTGAACACCCAACCTCTTAGCCCTGTTCAGAAAATCAGGGGTCCCCAAATCTACAACCCTGCAAACGATCCTAAGCCCGAGAAGGATTTAGGGTTGCAGGCCGAGGCTGGGTTAGGGGATTCAAGGCTTAGGAGTTTAGGCAGCTTAGGGTTTAGGGGTTTGGGGTTTAGGGCTTAGGGCTTAGGGCTTAGGGTTTAGGATTTAGGGTTTAGACCACCTCAGCTGCAGCTGTGGCTGGGCTGGGCTCCTCTTGTCCCATGTGGGCATCGACGGCTCCTGATGTTCTTGGCAATCCTACACCCTAAGGCCCTAAGCACTAAACCCTAAACCCTAAACCCTAAACCCTAAACCCTAAACCCTAAACCCTAAACCCTAAACCCTAAACCCTAAACCCTAAACCCTAAACCCTAAACCCTAAACCCTAAACCCTAAACAAACCCCTGTATTAAAACCCGGTTGCTCAAGCCAAGTCTCCGGCAGTCTCGGGGACATTCTTGACATGACCCTGCTCCTGCCGTGGCTCGGCATCCCCGTGTTCCGTGGCAGCCCCGACGACTGCATCAGAAGGGCCCTCCTCTCCTAGTTCATGGTTGGGATCGTATTAAGAACTTTAATAAATAAATATAAATATATATATATATATATTTATATGTATATGCATATACATATTTTCTGTGTATATATATATATATATATATATATATATTCCTTATTGGGTTTAAGTAAAAATCTGAAATGATACCCAGCAATGACCAAGTCTCCCTGCGCTGTATCCAAGGCAGTGGCCGGAGCCTCAACGTCAACTCCACCTGCACTGTCCTCTGCGCCGGGCCTGGGCTCGGGAGTGGTTGGGTCCCCCGGTCGCTCCGGCTCGGGCAACTCCTTGTCTGCTCCTCCCTCCTCTTTGCTGCCGCTCGACTGCCCTTTCGGCAGCTCGGAGCCGTGCATGACTGCAGGAGCCTCCACATCAACGGCGTCTCCTCCTGTGGCCTCGTCTTCTTGCAAAGACACGCCACCCTCACCGCGTTGCAGCTCTCTTCTGGGTCTCGGGTCGGGAGCGCTGTCTGCATCTGCGATGTTCATGGAGACGCCCTGATCGTCTGGCCTGTCCTCTTCAGGCAGCGTGCGGTTGTCACGGACAGGCATCGTGCTGCCAGCTCCCGCTGCCACTTCCGCTGCCGTTCCCTCGCCACTTGCGCGCACCTGCTGCTGCTGCTGCTGCTGCTCGTGCTCTTGTACGTCGTGCAGGACCCCGATCGGAGCCTCGGCCTCAACTCTATCTGCTGATTCACCATCTTCCTTCTTCGCATCTGCACCGTCCTCTGCGCCAAGCCTGGGGTCGGAAGCACGTTCCACATCCACCATCTTGCTGGACACGGCCGCGTCCCCCGTGACTGCAGGAGCCTCCACATCAACGGCGTCTCCTCCTGTGGCCTCGTCTTCTTGAGAAGATACGCCATCCCCACCGCGTTGCAGCTCTCCTCTCATTCTCGGGTCGGGAGCGCTGTCTGCATCCGCGATCTTCACGGATGTGCCCTCATCGCCTAGCTTGTCCTCTTCAGGCAGCGTGCGGTTGTCACCTCCTCCCGCTGCCACTTCCGCTGCCGTCCCCTCGCCACTTGCGCGCACCTGCTGCTGCTCGTGCTCTTGTACGTCGTGCAGGACCCCGATCGGAGCCTCGGCCTCAACTCTATCTGCTGATTCACCAGCTTCCTTCTTCGCATCTGCACCGTCCTCTGCCCTAAGCCTGCGGTCGGAAGCACGGTCCACATCCGCCATCTTGCTGGACACGGCCGCGCCTTCCGGTCGTTCCGCCTCGGACAGTGCAGCTTTACCTAAGGCAGGAGCCGCACTCTCTGCTCCTGTGGCAGCTTCCTGGTGCACTTCGTCTGGCATATCCGGTGCAGGAACTGCTATCTGCGAGGGCTCGTGCACTAGCACTTCGGCACCTCCATCTGGCCTTTCTTTGGCACCTCCATCATCTTCGGCCAAATCATCCAAATCTTGCTCCACATCTTCCTAGACTGGCCCTTAAAACCCTCTTTAAAACATCCTGAAGGTGATCCTCCTAAACCCTAAACCCTAAACCCTAAACCCTTAACCCTAAACCCTAAACCCTAAACCCTTAACCCTAAACCCTAAACCCTAAACCCTAAACCCTAAACCCTAAACCCTAAACCCAACAAGGGAAAGCAGAAACATGGTTTTCAAGGGCCTGCCCAGCTTCCAGGGAGCGGCTGTCCTCCTGCTCCGGCTCCCAGCCGCCCAGCGGCGCCGAACCTGCGTCCGCGGGGGGCTGAGGCTGCCCGGGAGCTGCATCTTGCGCAGCGTCCTCGGCTGGGGTTTAGGGTTTAGGGTTTAGGGTTTAGGGTTTAGGGTTTAGGGTTTAGGGTTTAGGGTTTAGGGTTTAGGGTTTAGGGTTTAGGGTTTAGGGTTTAGGGTTTAGGGTTTAGGGTTTAGGGTTTAGGGTTTAGGGGTTTGGGTTTAGGGTTTTGGGTTTAGGGTTTAGGGTTTAGGGTTTAGGGTTTAGGGTTTAGGGTTTAGGGTTTAGGGTTTAGGGTTTAGGGTTTAGGGTTTAGGGTTTCAACCCCCCAAAGATGCTCTTAAATGAGAGTCCGTTGGATGTTCCCCCTTGTACTAACAGCTACTTCCTAGGGACTGTTATAGTACCCCCTACTATAATCCCTATTTAAGGACTCTTAGCATAAGGGAACACCATCCCAAAGAGTCCTCCTCAACCCCAGAAACAAAAAAAAGCAGAACATGGTTTAGGGTTTAGGGTTCAGGGTTCAAGGTTCAGGGTTTAGGGTTTAGGGTTTAGGGTTTAGGGTTTAGGGTTTAGGGTCTAGGGTTTAGGGCTTAGGGCTTAGGGCTTAGGGCTTAGGGTTTAGGATGTCCCAAGATCCTTCTGTGGCATCCTCCGGAACCTTCGGCCGGCCCTCTCTGCTCATGGGCCATGGCCCTGCGGCCAGCGATGTTCACCGGCCATGGCGCACGGCACTCCTATTTTAGGGGGTATACCTTTTTGGGGTCTTGATTTTTAGGGGATCCTCCTTAAGATTAGGGGGGTACCTTTTTGGGGTCTTTGTTTTTAGGGGATCCTCCTTAAGATTAGGGGGGGTACCTTTTTGGGGTCTTGATTTTTAGGGGATCCTCCTTAAGATTAGGGGGTACCTTTTTGGGGTCTTGATTTTTAGGGGATCCTCCTTAAGATTAGGGGGTACCTTTTTGGGGTCTTTATTTTTAGGGGATCCTCCTTAAGATCAGGGGGTACCTTTTTGGGGTCTTTATTTTTAGGGGATCCTCCTTAAGATTAGGGGGTACCTTTTTGGGGTCTGTATTTTTAGGGGATCCTACTATTTTTTTGGGGGGGGGGGGGGGGTGTATAGTAGGGGTTCCCCCCCCTTTTTTTTCGTACACCCCCATGTGAGCATGTAGACTTGGCGAAGGAAGATACAAGCTCCTGGCTTTCAGCTGAGATCTGAAGATTTTCTGCAGAAACCCTAAACCCTAAACCCTAAACCCTAATCCCTAAACGCTAAACCCTAAACCCTAAACCCACAGACCCGCACCACCCTGCACCATCCCACGGCAGATTCACAGCCGCAGGGAAGGGGATAAAAGATGCATCCATGTGCACCACATGGCCCAAGAGTAACCTAGGAGGTGAAAACGGGCGCCCTTTTTGGTTGAGAGGGGGTTTTATAAGGGGACCGCAACCCTGAAAAAGGGAATAAGGGCCCTACTCTGGGTCCTAGTAGCCCTAAACCCTAAACCCTAAACCCCTTAAAACAAGGGGGCTGCAAGCTGCCTCTTTTGGGATGGAAGTCCGCAAGGCCCAAAGAGCTCCGCACCCGGAATGCCTGACACCGACCTTATCTTTTAGGGTTTAGGGTTTAGAGTTGCGGGTTTAGGGTTTAGGGTTTAGGGTTTAGGGTTTAGGGTTTAGGGTTTAGGGTTTAGGGTTTAGGGTTTAGGGTTTAGGGCTTCGGGACTTTGGGGTTTAGGGTTTAGGGATTTTGGAGTTTAGGGTTTGGGGATTTTGCGGTTTAGGGTCTCATGCTTACAGTACAGCCCGATAATCCCCACGGAATGGGTGAACTGCTCAAAGCGAAGGTGTGTGGTGTGATGGTAAGCAACTTCATGGTCAAATTAACCTTATGCGCCCTACTTTCAACTTCCCACGAACCTCCAAACCCGAAACCTCAAATACGAAAAGCCTCTTGCGAGGGAAACTTCCCGGCTGAAGCAGACTGAGCGCCTTTTTCAAGCCATGGGCTTTGAAACGAAACCGGGAACGGCAGGGAAGGTTCAACCCTGCCTCCGTGGTAGTAAACTGGGCAATGCGCACCTTGACAGTGCTTCGGCCATGCGTTTGCGAGGGCGCGTCGGAGTTCTAGGGTGCACGTGGCTTCGGGTTTGAAGCGCATAGCCAGTATAGAAAGTCTGCTTGTGCTCTTTCACGTTCATGGCTCTAGGGTTTAGGGTTTAGGGTTCATGACTGCAGGGTCCGAGCTCGAAGGAGGATTCATGGGCATGCCTGGGCCTAAACCCTAAACCCTAAACCCTAAACGCTAAATCCTAAACCCTAAACCCTAAACCCTAAACCCTAAACCCTAAACCCTAAACCCTAAACCCTAAACCCTAAACCCTAAACCCTAAACCCTAAACCCTGCCCAAAATCCCACCATTCACCTCCACAGGGGCATGGGGCCTAACCGAGCTCTCGACCCCGCCCTGAAAGCACTCGACCCGGAGCTCTGGTAGGGTTGGGGTTTGGGGTTTGGGGTTTGGGGTTTGGGGTTTGGGGTTTGGGGTTTGGGGTTTGGGGTTTGGGGTTTAGGGTTTAAGGGTTAGGGTTTGGGGTTTGGGGTATAGGGTTAAGGTTTAGGGATAAAGGTTTAGGGTTTGGGGTTTGGGGTTTGGGGTTTGGGGTTTTGGGTCTGGGGTCTGGGGTCTGGGGTCTGGGGTCTGGGGTCTGGGGTCTGGGGTCTGGGGTCTGGGGTTTGGGGTTTGGGGTTTGGGGGGTTGTGGGTTGTGGGGTTGTGGGGTTGGGGTTTGGGGGTTGGGGTTTGGGGTCTTGGGTTTCGGCCTTGGGGTTCCCCCCAAGACACAAAACACCCTGAAAAAACCCACAAAACAAAAAATGGAACCAATCATATCCCAAACTACCCAAGCCCCTATGCTGTGAAGCCCTCCATCCCCACCTAAACTCGAAACCCCCCAAACCCTAAACCCTAAACCCTAAACCCCAAACCCTAAACCCTAAACCCTAAACCCTAAACCCTATTCTCATTATTAAGGCCCCTATATGAAACCCCATGGCCGAAGACGTGATGTGGGGGCCAATTTACAACCCCGCGTGGAGAGTGCGGTCCGCGCCAGTCGCGGGTCTTCCCGCGACATTCAGGAATGGTGGGCCCGGTCATGTTGTGCGTGTGTGTTTCGGGTTTAGGGTTTAGGGTTTAGGGTTCAGGGTTTAGGGTTTAGGGTTTAGGGTTTAGGGTTTAGGGTTTCGGGTTTCGGGTTTCGGGTTTCGGGTTTCGGGCTTCGGGTTTCGGGTTTCGGGTTTCGGGTTTCGGGTTTCGGGTTTGGGGTCTAGGGTTTGGGGTTGAGGTATTCGAGTTTCGGAGCGTGAGGTTTAGGGGTTAGGCGTTTTGGGGTTTTAGGGTCGTGCGGTTCAAGGTTTGGGGCCGCAGGGTCTTCGGCTTCGGGGTTCGGGGCGAAGGGCCCATGAGAAACTTACAATCAAGCAGATGGCGAGCTCCTCAAACCCCAGAGTTTAGGGTTTAGGGTTTAGGGTTTAGGGTTTAGGGTTTAGGGTTTAGGGTTTAGGGTTTAGGGTTTAGGGTTTAGGGTTTAGGGTTAAGGGTGGGCTTCGGGGTTGAGGTTTATGGTTTAGGGTTTAAGGTTAGGGTTTTCTTGGAGGATCGGGGGACTTCGTAAGCAGGTACAAAGTCGAGCTCTAAGTACCCTACATGGAAGCCTAACTGACATTCTCCTGCATAACAAGAGACCCTACCCTGCCTGGGCCCACTCCTCCATTGCGTGAACACACTCCTCGTGATGTCGAAGGAGCATGCATGCCTAGTAGCAGGGTAGTAGCGTGAGTGCGCCTGCCGCAGCAAGTTGCAGGATTTCTGGAAGCCCCGCACTTTCAACCTCTGCACTTGATTCAAGCAATGCGCCCCCGAAATAGCCCCTAAACCCTAAACCCTGAACCCTAAACCCTGAACCATAAACCCTAGACCCTAAACCCTAAACCCTAAACCCTAAACCCTAGACCCTAAACCCCGCACCCCTGCTGTAAGCACGAAGCCCCCCAACTCTCTACCACCGAGCCCCAGAGATAGTGTAGTTCCAAAGTCCAACCTCTTTTCAGCTCTCGAAGCCCTCAACCCTAAACCCCTGAGTCCTCCACCCGCAGCCCTATAAGCCTACTACCCCATAAGCCTGTAACCAAACAATCCTTGAAGCCTAGAACCCTAAATCCTAAACCCTAAACCCTAAGGCCCTAAGACATCACCGGCGCCCCTTCTTTAACCCCCCCCCGGGCTTGAGGGGTTTAGGGCTTCCGTTTCGCGTTAGCCCCTTGCACCTGGGTTTAGGGCTTTAGGCTTTAGGCTTTAGGCTTTAGGGTTTAGGGTTTAGGGTTTAGGGTTTAGGGTTTAGGGTGTAGGGTTTAGGGTTTAGGGTCTGGATCCAGAAACCCTGTACATGACCAATTGCGGCAGCGGTCGTGGCAAATATCCCCAACATGGGTTGGCTGGGAAACGAGGCGCGGCCATGGAGCACTTTGAACGCGCGCTTGGGTGTTGGGGCCTCAATAATAATTAGAACAGGGTTTTGGGGGGGCCATTCTCGTACATATTTTATAGGGGCCATATTCAGAGGCCTCAATAATTAGCACAGGTTTTCTTTTTTTTTTTTTTGGGGGGGGGGGGGGGGGGGGGCCATTCTCGTACATATTTTGTAGGGAGTACTATTCGAAATTATTCCGGCCCCTGTGGTATGTCTCAGAGTTTCGGGGTTTATCGGAAGTGGCTGCTCGTGGGGCAGACACTCTCCATTCAAAACGTGCTTCTAGCGAGTGTGTCCATACTTGACCTGTAGGAAAGCACAAGGTACTCTAGCCCTAAACCCCTAAACCCTAAACCCCAAAAATCTCACCACCTCCCAAATCAGAGGTTGCTGAGAGGCTCTGGGAGAAGTGTGTCGGAGTCTGGATTTACGAAGAGTTGACCTAGGCGTAGGGATAATTAATTTAATACATGAAATTAATTCAATTAATCTAATTGCTTAAATAAATCTAATTAGTTTAATTAATTAAACTAATAGGACAGCACTAAACCCTAAACCCATGAACCTTAAGTACCCAGATTTCAGTCCGCTTGAGGCTTTGAGTTTGGGCTCTTTCGGGGAGTTTAGGGTTTAGGGTTTAGGGTTTAGGGTTTAGGGTTTAGGGTTTAGGGTTTAGGGTTTAGGGTTTAGGGGGTTTAGGGTTTAGGGTTTAGGGTTTAGGGTTTAGGGTTTAGGGTGGGTTTAGGGTTTAGAGGTTGGGGTTTAGGGCTGGGGCTCGCTATGGCTCAGCAAAAGGCCGCCCCTCGGAGGAGGACTCTTGGGCACTTCGCACAGCCAGGGCCCTAAAACCCTAAACCCTAAACCCTAAACCCTAAACCCTAAACCCTATAAAGCCTCCTAAGCATGTCAGGTATCGATTGCAGGCCCTGGGTCAGTGGGAACTGCCCCACCCACGGTGCCCCCTTGCATGATGTCTGCGATCCTTAACCCTAAACCCTAACCCGAAACCCTAAACCCCAAACCCGAAACCCTAAACCCTAAACCCTTGAGTTTCTTTCAGACCCATGGGTCCAGACCCTGCAGACTGAAAGAGGCAACGGCGGATGAGCAAGGTGG